GAAGCGCTTTGTCCTTTACTGCCTTCCGCTTCCATGAGGGCAACCGCAGCTTCTTCCTCCTCTTTGAGCTCGTCAACCCAGATGTTGACCACCTTGTCAAGCTTCCCTGCCGCCAAATAACAAAGCAGCGCGTTCTTTCTCCACTCTCCTGCCTTTTCAGCCGATATGTGAGATCCTCCGGTGCCGGCTGCCACCCTGTACTGGAATTCTATCCGTTGTCCAAGCTGTTCAGCCAGACTGTTGAACTCGTCCTCCTTTGCAAAAGTGCAGAGTACTACAAAGATTTCTTGCCATTCCGATAATTCAGCATTTTGAACAACATCGGATAGATCGTTGGAAACGATCGACTGGAATAGCCGCAAATAAGGTAGAGCAGCAGTTCGTCGCTCAAAGTAAGACTGCTGGGTTCGGGCCAACAGTTCGGGGCCGCCTCGAACGGCAAGAACGAGAGCGTCGGCAAATCGATCTACCGAAAGCGAAAGGGTAACGGCAGATTCGAAATCGCCGACCACGAGTGCTCGAGTAATCAATCGATCAACCTCTGATTCATCGGCCGGGTAAATCTTGAAAGTGTTGGATTTCAGTCCATCTGACACGACGGATGAGGATCGAGAGCCTTGCGTGGCTGCGACTGATGAATCTTTGCCGTGCTCATGATGAGGCACCGACATTCTGTCTGGCAACGCTGTCCTTTCCGAGTTCATTGAGCTGAAAAAGTCGGCGCCCGTGACGGCTGCATCGACTTGAGGTGTTCCGAGACCGCCTTCGCTTCCACCAAACAGATCGGTAGCTTCGGTTTCTGCTTCAGTGACAGCAGTTTTCTTGGTGGTATCGGTTGCAGCGCTGATTTCAGACGGAGTAGCTTCCGACTGGGCGCCTTTTGCAGAGGGGTCGAGATCGCCTTCATTGATGGCATCTGCAGTTTCCGACACTTCTTCCTTTTGTTCCTTGAACGTGACAGCTGGGTCTCGAGGAGTACCAGGAACCGTAGTGTCGTCTTGCTCCTTTCGACCGTGAACTGCTTCGTACTTTTGTATAGCTTGGCTGACTTGAGATGCGATTTCTGCCTTGGAGAACCCGAGCAATGTGACGAGCTCGTCTCGAGAATTCGTGGTGAAGAGACTTTGCAAAGCCTTCCACCCGGCAGACACTGAAGCCTTTTCCCCGCCATCTTTTTGTATCATTTCATCGCAGAGCGTTGAAAGCCCAGTCGCAGATCCTGCAACGCTGGCAAGCTTTTGCGCCCGTTCGATAACTTGAGGCTCTGTGACGATGTTCCGGAGGTGGACAACATGTGATGGAGCTTTGTTGCTGGTCTGCGGTGGGCCAGCTATCGGAAGGTTGGAGACCGAAGCAAGTTGACCGCCGAAACCAAATGTCGCGGAGACGGGTCGTCGAAGCCACTTGGGTGGTTGTTTCAGGGAAAGGACAGGCGAGCCAACTTGGTTGGATGCGGAAATCGCGCCAAAGATGTCATCGGCAGACGACGTGTTCTGAGCAGCTGTCTTCTCGGAAGCCGAACGGTCTTGCTGGGTTTGTTGCAAAGAGTGGATTCCGATTTTCCCATCGAAGGACGCGGTGGCCAGCAAATCGGGGTTCCGAGGACACCATGAAGTCTGGAAAGACCAGTTGTTACTGGGAGGAAGCTATGAAGTAACGCGCTCGTCAGATAGGAAATAAGAATAATTACCTCTTGGCTACTCACCTCTCCGACGATTTCACATGTTTGTGGGTTCCAACATATTGTCCGGTTGTCTTTGCCGCATGAGAGCAACAAGTCTTGATCTTGTTCACACCAAGAAAGCGACAAGATACCCTTGTCATGTCCACTCAGAATCTTCTCCGGTGCAAGCGAGTTTCGAAGATCCCAGACCATGATGATGGGTGACGTATCATCCTCCGAGGCGGTGATCAAACGGGTAGAATGCGCAGGTTGCCAACAAACATCGCTCATACCTCGCTTGTTGCCTACTTGCATCCCGCCGAATCCGCCCATACCAGTTGGATGGCCGGTCATGCCTGTAGCGGCACCACCTCCGTATGCGAGGCTGATGACTTCCTTTTTCTGTCGCAGATCCCAGACCGATGTGTAGCCTGAAGACGAAGAGGCGGACAGAATGTGTGGAACTACTGGGTTCCATTTGAGCGAGGTGATTTCGTCCAGCTTCTGAGACCGAGGGCCTGTTTGGTGGATTTTATCAGGGTTGTTTAGGTCATATACTTTGATCTACGGAATTGCAAGATTAGTTGTTGGTCTGCGTATTCGGTCATGATACTTACCTCGGCGTTTATAGAGCCACTGGCTAGCAAGTTTTTTGTGATGGGGTTAAAGTCGAGACCTCGAACTGGTCCGGTATGAGTCTCGTTTTTGAAGAGCAAAGATGCGGAGGCGCTGTTGAACATACGATTAGGACAGGAATGGATTTTATTGGTAAGCCACTTACTCTGAGCCTCCCATGATCTTTTCAGCGTCCCATACTGAAACCTCACCGGTTTCCATACCGGATGCCAATACACCTCGTGGGTTGGCCGAAGATGGAGACGACCATGCTAACCGGTTGAACCTGGTAAGTAGTATTGTCAGCAAACGTACCGCACGTCTCGCAAGAGATATTACCTACCTAGCATTGGTGCTTATACTTCCCTTGGGACCCGGTTGACCTTCACCGCCGAGCTCGAGCCCTTCTTCACTATCAGCTCCAAAGAATTCGGGTGCCCAGATTTCCAAGTGTCCGACATTGCTAAATGTTTCGTCAAGGGCTCCCGAGATCGTACCGGTTGCTAAGAGTGGCAGTGAAGAGGCCGAGGTACCCCATGCAAAGGTTGCTGTACGTTGAATCTCCTTGAGCTTCATGATGAACGTGGAGGTGTCGAGGCTATATTACGGTCGTTCACGTTGCAAGCTCTCGTCGCGATGATACCGTCGAGATCGAGCTTGGACGTTAGCCGTGTCTACGTATGGTGGTGGTTTACGAGCCTAGGTTACGTCGCTACACTGGCAGCTGATGGTAAGAAGAGTAAAATACGAGATGAAGATGAAGAGCTAGATTAGGACACCTTCATCATTCGGGCGGCTGGGTTCGCATTGCTGGCGTCATGCTCTATGCTGGGTGCAGGGGACAAGAGGCCGATAGCAAGCAGAACAGATCGGCGAGAATTGGGACCCATGTCCCCACGTAGAAGGCTGAACACGCGGAAGGCGGTCATAAGAAGGAGCATCTCCGCACAGATCAAGGAGTCATGTTTCGTGTTTCGTGCATGTATCTCCTTCCCTCGCTCCTGCGCTCGGATACGAAGAATATATTGAATTTCCAACCAATACGGTGCATCTGTCAAAGATCGATTCGTCGTGTCAGAATAACATCACAGGACTTTGACTATACGAACGCGACGAGCGAATGTCTTTTCCTCTTCGCGCTTGGTATCGCTGGGTGCGACTGAGTTCTAAACGTATCCCAAATCTATATACTGTACGAACTTATCCCTGTCGCACGACACCATCGCCAAAATTGCGATTCGGATCGTTAGAGGTAGACATGTTCACCTGGGATACTACGCGAGAGCACATATTGTACGAATAAAAGCAGTCGGGTGTGGTTATAGTATGCCCTCATGTGTTGTCGCAAGCTGACCATTCGCCTTCATCATCATCGGACTTGACGCCTTCATCCCCTTCGTTTCATGGCCCATCTCTGTCAGATTGTGGTGCAGAGGCTCTGCGACTAGAGAAGGAAGGAGGTGGAACGGAATTGCCTCGCCGAGAAAAAGCTTCGTAGGTGACGCGCGATGTAGGCTTGACAGTGCGCACAGAGTAAATTATGGAGCACCCGTTATCAAGGAACTTGTCATGTTCGCAAATCTAGGCTGTGGGACTTCTACGAGACTCTGTGGCAGGATAATACGGTGTCAGGTTAGTGTAAGTGCTCGCTGTCGCCTTGGCACACGCCGATCTGCACCCTTGCATTCAACGCTGAGCAGAGTCAAGTATGCCTATTCACTATTCAGATAAGGGGTGGCCTCCTCTTAGCCATTTTTACATCAGAACCTTGAAGGAACACCAGGTTCGGTGCCTGTGAGGCTTGAAGGCGAGTACTGCTTCCTCTGCATGGTAGATTCGTCGCAGAGCAATTATAGGCAGCAATACGGAGAAGCAGGTCTAATGCCAGTGAGTGGCCCTGTAAACCTCTGGAGGAAGATAGTATCAGTTTACCGTTGTTCGTCGATGAGCTAGACGAAGGTACTGATACGGGGCGCGAACAGACATGTGCCTCCCGGACCCAAGCCTACCCTGATTTGGTAAGCTCTGGAGGTATGTAGTAAATTCAGTGCATTACCAGGTCGAAGACCCATGTCATCTTACCGCAGCACACAAGAGAGGACCGCGGTGAAGCGCAATGCCGCGGTCGATGACCATTCGTACTGTGCCGGCGCTGAAGTCGTCCAGTAGAGCCAAGCACTGGATAATTGACAAGTGCTTGAAAGGCAATAACCAATTTGCCAGTGAAAAAGGAACCTGAAGGCCCATGATGTTCCGTTCGACAAGAGCTTTCGACTTAGTCGCATGACGGTTCCGCACGGGTTCCACCCGTGAGTGTGGACTGTGATGGAGGATGTTCATATGGCTGTTCCTCACTCCTGAAATGCCAGCTCAGCCAATATACTTGGGATATGTCAAGTCACACGTAGGTGATAGTCCGTGATGCTGTTTTTTCTCCTTTTCTGTTTGTTCAAAAGCTCGAAGGCGTTTAGCTGGCGATTTTGCAACGTATTCCAAGTTTTAGAACCGCTACCCGCCCATCTGTGCGATGCCACGACTCTTGGGAACTCAACAATGCTACATGTATATCGTAATGTTGGATATCGAGCAAGATACTGGTCAAAAAAGGATGTATGCGGAGGTCGAGGACCTTCCGGTATAAAACCCGCACCGTTGGGTTTTTTCGTAAACCAAAAAGGAGTTGCAGAAATGCAGAACTCTTGCGGAACACGCAAAAAGAATCTGTCCACTTCCTGGATCGAACAAGAGACCTGCGGTACTTCAGACCGTCGCTCTCCCACTGAGCTAAGCAGACTGTGATGAAGTGACCTTGTGGTGTAACACCAAGTCTCAAAGACATTGGCATCTGGCTTCGCAAACGCTTTCAGAATCCTGCCTTATGATCCACGCAGGACTTTAGTGTTAGGCAACTTGTTAGGCGCTTGCTGCATGCAATGTAATAGATATCTCTAGCTCTACAGAGTCTCCTTCAGAAGCTCTTCCCAAGTAGCAAGTAGAAGGATGCGATAGACTAATTTTCCCTACCAGCTTCCCTACCTTCCGTTGTCATTGCCATTCCGTAGAATCCAAAAAGAATTGCGTGATTGCGAGCTCGGATCTCGTCTTCAGCGGCAACAGCTCGGCAAAGCTTTTTCGGGTCCCACCAGGAACCGATCGCCGGAGGTGAAACCATCAAAGCAGCCAACAAAGCGGGGTTCGAGGCGCAAATTCAGCAGGAACGCAGATCCCAAAGAACCTCCACACGTCCCGGCCGAATTACAGAAACGTGGTTTTGCATCTTGATCGCAGAAATGACGCCGACGCTTGAAAGTCATAGCTCCGAAATTTGAAAATGGCGTTCTACTACCGCTCGCCATACTCAATGTCGCCATCTGGTTAGAAAAAAATGTCGTTGCTAAGCATTCTTTACGTCGTTGGCAACGTCTTCATCGCTAAGCACAGTGTGATACCAGCCAACGCAGGATGACGTTCCCGGTATCCCAACTGGTTTCTTCACATATTTCCTCGGACGCAATGTATATTCTTAAAGATGTTACCATCGAACACCCGTTCGCCGCACAATTATTCCATAAACACCTGGCTTCAGATCGCTCACTTGGCAACATAGACTGAATTCAGCTATCCTCCTCTACAGTCTCACGTTGCGTGCTTTGGCAGTATCGTAGTCGAGCCTTTACACTGCTCCAAGCCAGTATACTAGCCTTCTAGGTATATATTCTGAAGTTGCTCGGATTCGGAATCATCGGCGCTCTCCTCGACCACCAACAGCCAGCTCTCCGAATACTACCTGGATCCGACTTCCTCTGATCAGAGTGATACTCACAGCTCAACGAGCCTTGTCACTCAACATGCCTGCCCAAGCACAGGGAGCGTCGACTTCGCCACCAGCATCGCTGTTCGGCACCACAGTATTGAACAAGCGCCGCGACGATGAAAAGAACTCTCCGATAACCAAAGCCAGGAGGACAGTCAAGAAGGTACTCAGCGTCCCCGAGGATGCACCAGAGACCGTTCACTCTTTCGACTACCTGAGAGGCAACACAGGCAATGTCAAGGACAATGTTTTGACCTATGTCAAATCACTGTTTCCTTTCATTCAATGGGTTCCTCGTTACAATTTGCAATGGCTTATTGGCGACTTGATCGCGTGAGTAACATAACAACCCATAGACCTTGCCCTCAGCTAACACTGCTTTTATGATCAGAGGTATCACCGTCGGTATCGTACTTGTTCCTCAAGCTCTGTCATATGCCAAGTTGGCATCGCTACCCGCTGAATACGGTCTGTATTCATCCTTCATCGGTGTATTGACGTAAGTAGTACATTATTCTGTGTATCTTGCGTCAAGCTCTGACAGCTCTCCCCTCCAGCTATGCCTTCTTTGCTACATCGAAAGATGTTTCTATCGGCCCCGTTGCCGTCATGTCCCTGCAAACCGCCAACGTTATTGCTCATGTTCAAAAGACACATCCAGGTGTTTGGGATAATCAGACCATTGCCACCGGGTTGGCATTTATCTGTGGATTCATCGTTCTGGGAATCGGACTTCTTCGACTCGGATGGCTTGTCGAATTCATTCCTCAGCCGGCCGTGTCTGGATTTATGACTGGATCAGCCATCAATATTGCCGCAGGTCAGGTTCCCGCCTTGTTTGGTATTGCCAAAAGACTTAACACTCGAGAGGCAACCTACAAAGTCATCATCAACACACTCAAAAACTTGAAATACGCCAAGTTGGACGCTGCTCTGGGTGTGACGGCGTTGTTCACCCTGTACCTCATCAAATGGTCGATGGCGTACGCTGGCAACCGCTATCCAAAGTTCCGACGGGCCTCCTTCTTCATCACTTGTTTCCGACACGCCTTTGTCATCCTTGTCTGGACCATTATTGCATGGAGGATGGTCGCCGGCAAGAAATCTGCAAATTACCCTATATCAGTGCTCGGCACCGTCCCTCGAGGGTTACGAGACGTCGGACCCCCCAAGATCAGTGCAGAATTGCTCGGCGCCCTTGGGCCGCAATTACCGGTATCCACCATCGTCCTTTTGCTTGAACACATTTCCATCGCTAAAAGTTTCGGTCGATTGAACGGTTACAAGATCAACCCCAATCAAGAATTGATCGCTATCGGTGTCAACAACACCCTTGGTACGCTCTTCCGAGCCTACCCTTCAACCGGTTCATTCTCTCGATCTGCCCTGAAGTCGAAGGCCGGTGTACGAACTCCTGCAGCGGGTATCCCTACCGGTATTGTCGTCATCATTGCCTTGTACGCATTGACGAGCGCCTTCTACTACATTCCCAACGCCGCCATCTCAGCCTTGATCATTCACGCCGTCGCCGATCTAGTCGCTTCGCCTGCACAGTCTTACGGTTTCTGGCGAGTCGCTCCCTTGGAATACATTATCTGGCTCGCCGCCGTCTTGGTCTCGATCTTTTCCTCGATCGAGAACGGTATCTACACTTCTCTGGCTGCATCCGTCGTCTTGCTCTTGTTCCGAATCGCCCGTCCTCGTGGCCACTTCCTCGGTCGAGTGCGAATTAGGCCTGAGAACAACCTCGATGAAAAGAACATCCGAGACGTCTACGTTCCCCTCTGCGGTGACGGTGGAATCACCAACCCTCAGGTCAAGATTGAGGCTCCTCCTCCTGGTGTCATCATCTATCGATTCGAGGAATCCTTCTTGTACCCCAACGCATCGTTCATCAACCAAGCTATCCTTGACCACGTCAAATCCAAGACCCGCCGAGGAAAGGATATGACTTTCGTCAAAGTTGGAGACCGACCTTGGAATGATCCGGGACCTAAAAAGGGACAGGCGATCGAGGATCCCAGCAAGGCCAACTTGCCTATCTGTCGTGCTGTTATTCTTGACTTTGCTGCGGTTGCCAACCTCGACACAACTGGTGTTCAGAACTTGATCGATCTTCGTCGAGCTGTCGAAAGCTATGCCGATCAAACAGTTGAATTCCACTTTTCAGCGGTACTCAGCCCATGGACACGGCGTGCTCTTATTGCTGGAGGCTTCGGTTACGGTTCATCGCGACACGCACTGCCTGCCGAGGTCGCACCGGCTCTACCGCCCATGGACATCCTATCACCAGCCGATCGAGCTCGACAAGAAACTGAAGCCCTTGAGTCCAACACCTACGGAAACCGAGCAGAAACTCAACAATCACGCCAAACGAGATTCGAGCATGCCGAAGAAACCGCGTTTACCGACTATGAAGCTGGTAAACGCTCTCTTGCAGAGTCCGAAACTAGTACAGAAACACCCCTTCTGTCAACGACTACACCCTTCTTCCACTTCGACTTGGCCAGTGCTATCGCTTCCATCGCACCAGGCGAATAGACGACTGGTTTCTCCCTGTGATTGATATCGTACGGGCTTTTCAGGAATCAAAAAGACACCCAAGTGGTGTCAGTCAATGGTAGAAGAGTAATGTTCATGATAACAAGCTCACCAATATTGTAAAGAATAGGGGACAGGTTGTATAATAGGGCCTTGAACGCAATGCAGCGGGTGCGATCCATACGATATAGATTCGTAATTACTACTTGACCTTTCCTCGAGGAGAAAATCCCACAAGCAGTTTCCGTCTTTGAGGCTTTGACTATGTCCCCCCTGCAATGCACGACTGACTCGAGTTTGCGAGCTTGTCAACAGGCCCAACAGGATTGCATGTACCGATCTGGGAGGATTTATCATGATAGCTTGTTCGATCATGTCTCCCTTCCGGGCATATCCGATGAAGATCATCCCGTTCCTTGTGGACTGATTCTTGGGTTTCTGGCGGATTCGGTTTGAGAAGCGTATGGTCAGTCTGTCTCTCAGCTGGTCTATCGTGCCAACAGCTGTTAACACACCTTGCCTGTTTATATAGGACAGGACTTGTGCATCACTTTCGAAACTCTTTCTCGACCGCTCAAAATCAGATCAATAATCCGACGTAAGACGAAATGACGATAGACATCGCGAACCCACTTGACGTCCAACAGGAGGTCCTACCTCATTTTCCGGCTCTCAAACAGGACTTCATCTTTGCAGACAATGCCGGCGGATCTCAAATCCTTCAATCCAGTATCGATGCGATCACGCAATACCTGCTTAAGAGTAATGTTCAGCTCGGTGGAGGATATACTCATTCCTTGGAAGCCGGTGCTCTGGTAGACACCGGCAAGGAAGCTGCTGCTGCTTTGACCAACGTTGAGGGTGGAGCGGCTCAGATTGTCCTTGGAAGCTCGACTACACAACTCGCTGTGAACCTGAGTCACGCTTGTGCAGCAACAGGTAAAGGACATGGGTTGTTCGAGGTCAACGACGAAATCATTCTTTGTACGGCAGACCATGAAGGTATGTTGCGTGTGTTGAATCTGAGGCACAACTCCTAATCTCATCGCATCAATATAGCCAACGTGGGACCCTGGGTCCGGCTTGCCAAGGAACTGAACTTGACCATCAAGTATTGGAAGCCAACGCAGTTACCCGGCTCCGACTCACCGTTCGCAGTCGGTCTGCATCCATCCGAGCTCGAACCCCTGCTCTCTGCCAATACTCGGTTGATTGCGTTCACCGCCACGTCAAACATTTTGGGTCACCGTACGCCTGTCAAGGAAGTCATCGATCTGGTTAAAAAGAAGACAGGAGGCAGATGCATGACGGTGGTCGATTGCGTGGCGTACTGCGCTCACGGTCGAATGAATATGCAGGAATGGGGGTGTGATGCTGTCCTCTTCAGTTTCTACAAGGTGTGTTTCTGTTTTCAATTCCATACATCAGAAATGTACATG